GATTTAATCCAAAATCCTCAAATTTGAAATCTAACCTTAAATAAATGTTCTATAGCATTTAATGTACTCCTAACAACCTCAGCAATATATCATAATAAATTATCATAACCTCAGGCTTCTAACTCCCATAAGAGACCTTAATTGTAAACCCTCCCCAAATCTAAGGGAGAACTAGGTAGAGTAGGAGAGGGAGGACTATAGAAACTTACCTTGAGTTATTACTAGGCTCGAAGATCATTTAAAACCCCAAAAATTTGTGCCCTAATAGAGCTTGGCCATTGCCCATTGTTTTCTCCCACTCCTTTCACTCATTCTGATCTAATTTTTAGAACAAGGACTTTTATTTATGTTTTCAACTTCGACCAATCATTGCCTTTGTATTTCACAACTGTGGACTGTTGAAGCCACTTAAACTAGTTCACCCTCTCTATTTATGACCACGAACGGTTTTGCCACTTATCAAGTTCAATTGTGGATAGTCTTGAATAGATAGCACTATGTTAAGGCATAAGGCTTGACCATGAGAGGCAATAAACAAAATTACCACATACTGCTCCTCAACTTGACCATTTTAATTCCCAAACACCCAATACATTTATATTCCTAGTTGTTTATTAACTTCAATAAACCTTAAATTAGCATAATCCAAATTAGGATGTTTTAATAAGCCTCTAGGGAACTATGGTAAAGATAAGAATGTAGCTAAGGAGGTTAAGAGGATAGTCAATGAATTGAGGAAACAAATGGAAGAACAAGCATCGAGTGAGCCAACAATAGTAGGAGCTCCTTCCTTGCAAGTAGAAGATTCTTCAAACAATCATTTAGTTATCCACCATACACCAGTACAAGTGGCTCCTTTAAATCCTTCTAAGCAAGGATCAATATCATCATGCTACATATATTCCTTATATGCAAGCTGCATGAAGGCCACTCTACTGCTTAATGGTCAAATATAGCTATACCCTGTCTGTTGGAAAGGTTTCTGGAGATTTTGCATAACCAAACTACCCAATCTTGCCAAAGCTTGTTCTTTTGCTATCTAACCTGTGGGAAGGAATTTCTAGATATTCACCTATATCAAGTTGCTTGCTCTTGCCAGAGCTTGCATGTTGATCAAATCTCACATTTTGGAAAGGGTTTCCAAATTTGAGCCCTCATTGAAATTTATCCTGCCCTTCCTTTCCCAAATTTGTGCCTCAATTTTAGCTCATCAAGAGTCGAGTTCTTCAAGCAAGGAAGAAATTATGTAATATAGAATAAAACATAATTAGGATTTAATTTAAAATATTATAGTTATTTAATAGGGATATTTAAATAAAGGTAATCCATTAGAATCAACCTTCGATTATTTATTTTATTGTTATCTTGCATATCATTATCTTTAAGATGAGATTTAAACTTAGAATTTAGGACTTGAATTTAAATTATTATTATTTTAGGCCTAGAGCTAGGAATTTTCATTTACATTCCGTTTGAGTATCAAATTAATAATAAGAGTTTCTATTTTTCTTGTCTCCTTTCTCTTTTTCTCTCCCTTCTTCATCTTATCTCTCTTCCCCTCTTTTCCTTCCCGTCTTACATCACTCATGGTATTAAATGGAAAGTAGAAGTTGGAAAAAAAAAAGAAAACTTCACTTATCTACGTGTTTTTATATGGCATATGTTCTGCAATTTCCCCTTCCCGCACACAGACCTAAGTGGTTGATTTTTCTATTCAAATATCACAAGGATTTGGATTAATTTTTAACTTAAAAAATATGTTTTAAAATAAATTAATATAATTTACACTCGTGCTATATATATATATATATATATAAAGTGATATATATATATATATATATATATTATGATCATTATCCTAGCTAGACCTAATTTTTTTCCCACGGCCTTCCTTCCCCTTGTAAAAACCCACAAGCCACTCTAAACTAACAAAGGGAGGGTTATATTATCATATGGAGCGTCAACAAGTTATTGATATCATTCAGCCACAAGACAGGAACTTCTAGCCACAAGACTCCCAGCATAGAGTTTTGACGTAAGTTTTTTCTTTGGTTAATTATTTATTCAAATCATTGCAATAACTTCTTCTTCGATGTCTACACATAATTAAATTGGCTTAAATTTGCATTTGACATGCAGTCGTTGCAACGCGTACTTGTTAAATGTGATGTTTTGTTTCATTGTGGCTCCTGGAATTGTGGTTTGCCTGCTTAAACAGCGAGGTGATTTATATTATTTATCCTTAACGATTACAATATTGGGATTGTCTGGTAATCATAAACTTTGTTTTTTTCAGGTTCCACCATGCCCATTCTAGTGAATGTTGTGATGGTTTGGGCAAGTTATTGCTTATTTGGGTTGCTTGTCTCTTGAAAAAGCCAGTCAGTTGTCCTGAGCGCCTAGAGCTTCAGAGTTATGCAATCTTTTACTCTATCGCTGTGATTTTTGGTGTAGCAACTCTAGTAGGGGTGACATTTAAATGGGAAATAAATGACATTATAATTAGAATAAGTGGCACTTTAATGGGAATTGAAGTGAGTGCCATTCTAGTTTTCGTTGGATTAACTTGTGAGCCTCAAACAAATTGGTTTGCTACTGATGACCCATTCCGTAGCCTTGTTTTGTTATCCAGCATCTTGACCGTGGTACAGCTGAATATTTTTGTTATTGAAATTATGTTGCACAAGATTGATTCTCTCATCTTTATTATAATTATAATCATCATGTTTGTCTCCCAAGCGACTTACAGGGTCCCTGTTATCTGATTGCAAGTGGGGCTATATGTATTTTTGATTGGATTATGAATTATAGATATTTTATCATGTCACATGTTATTAACATGTCATAATTTATTTTTCTTAATTTCTTCATTTTTCTTTGAGAAAATTACTTTAAGGTTTCATCCCATGTACTTAGAAGATTCACAACACAAATCCTAAGCTCAATTATCAATGAATCTAGAAGTAATTAATTGTGTAATTTTACCTTTTCCTTTTAATGGCCTACCTTAATTAAGGGTCCTTGCTCCCAGTGTTTGACCATTCTTTATTAATATTTTAAAATTTATAAATAATTAATTAAACAATATATATATATATATAGAGAGAGAGAGAGAGAGATTTCCTAATAAAAAGGAATCTAATCAATTGGTTGTGTTTCCAATATACTCTAACTCGAATTAGAAGGATGCACTATAGATTCGAAAATTTTTTTATCAGTTGGTTTATGTATAAATTACAACTCGCACATCAATGATGCAATTTATTTCATATTAAAACTTAATTCATAACATTCCACCAAAATGCTTATTTTTGACTTAGTTAAATTTATTGAGCATTTACATTTCACAAATAAAAAATGCATAGTTAATGGCTAGTAAATATATAGTTAAATCCAATATATATATATATATATATATCATATTTTTTTTGTTTTTCTAATGTTTTGTTACTTATTATTTCCACCTATCTCCACCTCTCAAGATAGGACGGTTGTACAGCAGTGACATCACATCTTCAACAAACTATACAGTGTAGAATTTATAAGCCCATAATAAATTTAGTCACAACAAATGTAAGCATTGAGAAACTAAAATAAAAGGGAAAATTAGTCTAAAGTCCTATGGAAGCACTTTAAATACGCTGAGGTCCCATAAATTTAAGAAATAGTTGCTAGGTCCCTAGGGACCTAAGGGTGAATAAGTCTGAAAGTAAAATTACCCATTTGCCCTCTAGTATTGAAAATAAGATTTTGCTTGCACGCGCACGTTTGAGGAAACCCAGGTTTAGCAATAGTGAAGGTTGTTGCATATCCATGATTGTTGATTACGGTAGGATCATCTTCACTTCCTCACATCCATGATTACAGCCGTTGTCTTCATCTAAGTGAGTTGGGAGTATTTTTTCTGCAACAGCAGCATTTCATCAGCAGAAAATAAATTTTCTAGGTAAACGATTGTTGGCCTTAAACGATTACGTAAATTACCGATCAACAGTAGCATATCCATTGTTAGCTGGGTAAACAATTTCTTGTGCGTTAATGATTTCATTATTGTTCAAGGTGTAGGATAATGCTTTTTGGGTAAACCTACGATCATTCAGTTTGCATAGCTGATATATGGAATAATCTGGTGCAACACTGTTCTGTTGACAAATATCTGATATGAATATATTTACATGTTGTCAATAGTGTTTTGTTGTGTTGTCAATATGATATGAATAGTTGTCAATACACTGTACTGTGCAGGCTAATCAGTAAGAATACAAGTACTACTGGAAAACATATATTATGTTATTTTTTTCATATAGGACAATTTATATATTATTCCCAAGCATCTGAGGTAAGTTTGTTTTGTTGAAAAATCTCTGCTATTAATGAACACTACGTCTTGTCAATAGTGGATAAATATGTTGTCAATACACATTGTCTAGTTGTCAATATACTGTGTGTGGTGCAGGTTGACCTGTAAGATGGCAAGTTCTTTAGGAGAACATATATTATGTTTTTTTCATATAGGGGGCATTTTCAAAATGATGACCAAGGAAGCATGCAATATGTTAGGGGGAGTGTTAGAACTAGAACAATAAAGGAAGGGACAACATATGAAGAGTTGACAAGAATGATATAATCAATTATAGGGAATGAAAGTAATATAATCCAGTTAAAATTCACAGTCAATATTGATGCAAACACACTTGTAGATCTAGTTGATGATGATGGAGTAGAATATCTGATCAAATATAACAAACAAAGTGGACATGTGTATGTAGTTGCAAATGGGAATGATACCATAGAAGCATCAATAGATTGCCCATTAGAGGACCAACATGTGTAAGTTGTGTAAATTTTTTTGTTAATGCAAATATGTTGAAAAGTACAATTATAATGTTGTCATTGAATGCAGGATTGATAATTTATTGAGAGTTTTAGATGGATGCTCTTTCTATCCACCAAGTATCTATCCTGAGATTGAAGACTCAGAATTGACATGCACTGTACAAATGGTACCTACACCAATACCTAAAATGAGTTCTATGAAATGGAAGGATTTGTTAGTAGGTAAAGGGCAGTTTTTTCCTAACGTTGATGCCTTTAGACAAGCATTATACAAGTATAGTGTCTCCCACAAGTTTTCATACAAGTTTAAGAAGAATAACAAAGAGAAGATTGTTGCATATTGCAAGGTAGAGGGCTGTGAATGGAACATTGCAGCATATTCAATAGGGAAAGATAATGAGATTTTAAGGGTTACAAAATTTAACAATGATCACACCCATAATGCGCAAGACAACCTTATTGTGTCACACCCAGCAAGGTCAAAATTAACATCATCAATTATGGTTGATGCTCTAAGGTCTAATATAGATAAAGGTGCCAATGAACTTGCAAGAGACTTGTATAGAGAGTATGGTGTGCGATTGAGCTACAGTCAAGCCTATAGGGGAAGAGAAAAAGCATTGCGAGAAATACATGGTCGTGCAGAAGATTCTTATAGCATAATCCCTTGGATTTGTGATCGATTAATGGAAACTGATCCGATGACAGTTGCAAAATGGAATGCCTCAAATAATAGATTTGAGAGGCTATTCATTGCTTATGGATGCTCTATATCTGGTTTTTTAGGAGGTTGTCGAGCTATACTTTATGTAGACAGATGTCACCTACGCGGTCCATACAAGGGAACAATGCTGTCAGCATGTACATATGATGCTAACAATGACTTATTTCCGTAGCATATGCCATTGTTAGTGGGGAAACATTAGAAGATTGGTCTTGGTTTCTTCAAAATGTCAAAGACATAACAAGATCAATGGAGTTAACAATTGTTTCTGATTGGAATAATGCAATTATTGGTGCCGTGCAAGCTATATTTGGTAGTGGTGAGAGACATGCATTTTGCTACCGTCATGTGAAGGAAAATTTTAGCACAGCATTTATGAAAATCAATAGAGGTAAGAGGCGTACCTTAAGCAACATGAAAGATGATGCATTGAAATTACTTGATGCAATTGCCTATGTAAGGCATGAGGCTAAATTTAATGTTGCGATGGGGAATCTAAGATTGTTTTGTCCACAGTTGGTACAATGGGTTGAAACCTAAGGGGATGTAGATCGATGGTCTCAATGCAAGTTTGGATATAAACGATGGGATAATATCACAACTAATCTTGCAGAATCCTTTAATCTTTGGATTGTGAAAGAGAGAAAACACAATGTTAATGTCTTGATTCATAAGCATAGAGAGAAATTGGCAAAGAAGATGGTTGCTTGCAAAGCGGCTATAGAAAATTGGAAACACTGTGTCGGGCCTAACGTTGAGGCAAAAGTTATGGAGCAAGTTGTGAGAGCTGAAAATTTACATGCACAAATTTATAGAGAAAATTTGATCTCTGTGCAAATTATATCAGTTAATGGACTAATACACTTGAATGTTGATCTTGCAACACGTACATGCTCTTGTTTAGCATGGCAATTGAGTGGAATACCTTGTGCAACTTGTGCAGCAATCAAGCTACTTCATGGCAATGTGTATAATTTTATGGATGAATGTTACAAGTTTACTGCTCAAGAAAAGATATATGCCAGCAGCGTGAAGCCGATAGCCACACATGACTGTCCACGTCTAGAAGCATTGACGATGACAAATTTATTAACTGAAACCTTTTTGGTGCCACCAATGACTAGAAGGCCTCTTGGTAGGCCAAAGAGTAAAAGAAGGGAATCTCAATTCCAAAACAAAAAGGGTTTATCATTGTGGAAGATGCCATGAGATTGGTCATACCTCCAAGACTTGCAAGAATCCTAATCCATACTAGAAAATATCACAGACAAGTGTATTTTTTTGTTTATATATATGGAATTTGTTTTTGTTTACTTTTTGGTTTATTGTACATAATGTATTAGCACTTGTCAATAGCAAATACATAAATTGTAAATGAAGTGATACGTTATAGTCAATGACTAATGGCAAGTAGTCAATAGGTTCTTGCACCAGGTTGATTTTCGCAGGGATTAACAGCACCAAGTACGTCAACACTTGTCAATGTAGAATTAACACGTTGTCAATATAGTTATATCCACTTGTCAATAGGAAATGGAAGTAGTCAACAGCTTCTTGCACCTTGTTGAATTTTAAAGGGAATAACAGCACTTACTACTTCAGCACTTGTCAATATTGAATCACTACCTTATCAATATAGTTAATAGTACTTGTCAATCTCCACAGCTAAGTAGTCAACAGGTTCTTGCACCTTGTTAAATTTTAAAGGGAATAACAGCACTTACTACTTTAGCACTTGTCAATGTCGAATCACTACCTTGTCAATATAGTTAATAGTACTTGTCAATCTCCAAAGCTAAGTAGTCAACTGGTTTATTTAACTAACTGATTTTCCAAGGAAATGATAGCACTTACTACCTCAGCACTTGTCAATAGCGAATTACAACCTTATCAATATAGTTATTACTACTTGTCAATGGTGAATTATTAACTTGTTAATGTACTTATAGACACTTGTCAATAAAGTGATAACAACTTGTTAACATGCAATTAATAAAACAAATTGTCTGCCACATTTACAAACTTATAATCAGCTTTTATAACCAGTGTTATCTAAGTTAACTACACAAAATGAGCTAATTATACAAAGGGATATGATGATCAATAAAATTATATCCTAAGGTTCTATAAAAAATCTTCTATTTCCTTTTCCTCGTCACTTGGGATCCTTCTAACAAGGACATGGCTTCGGGCTCCTTCACATTGTTACGATGACTCAGTAGCCACCACAACATTTCTACCTTCTTCTTATAGAGGTCATCCTGCACTACAAGTAAGTCTTATAAGGGACAACAACAAATATGTAGTACATGAAAGAGGGAAAATGTAAAGCAAAGAATGCATACGTCAGAGTATTTTGGCATCGTATACCCATTCTTATCCACAGTGTTGTCCCACGATTGTAACCATGTCATAATGTGCACCCCACAAGTATGGCTAAAAACAAAATAAAAAACATAATGTAAAATTAATTTTTCACATGTAAATATAAGCTTAATGATGTATAAACATAAAAGAAACTCACATATCAGTTTACACATAAACTTTAGCCCATATAATGTCCGTGCTAACATCATCTTCAAACAATTGTGGCTTGACTGCACGAAGTAGAGAGTGAAAGCAATTCCTTTACAAACTCAACACTTGCAATATTAGTAATGTTGATTTACAACTAATCAAGAAGACAATGATAAATATAGATGTTGGTAATGTTGAGTGACAAGTATAGACATACGCATCCTCTTGCCATCATTTCTTTGGGATCCGGTTGTCCTTTCTTCTTCTTCTTCTTCTTCTTCTCCTTTCCCTTACCCTTCTTCTCAACATTCTCTTCTTCTTCCTCTTCCTACTGTCTTTAGAAATACTCCCTGTTACTGACCAATGAATCTAACACATAAAAGTTCTTGCTCTTGGTCTTAAAGACAGCAAAACCAGTGACTATGGAAAAGAGTTGGGCCAAAAATGAAATCACAATTAGCAATGTTATATCCAACAAACTTAAGAAATATTTCTCCCTTGTTGTCATCTACTGTCTATTTCAAAGGGTTGCTGATCATTTTTAGCATGAACTTAGAACCAAAGATATGTCTCTGGACTTTCCCTTCAGTTTCCTTTTGGTCACCTACCAAAGTTCGGGCAACCATTGACATCACCCTGTCACTAATCCATCTCTTTCCACCAAAACATTGTAGCTCTGCATGAGTCAAGTAGTAGCTATACAAATCTACAATGATCCTATTGAAGAAGAAGGAAAAATTAAATAGATTGTCACTAATATTTTAGTCAGTCAATTTTTAGGCACAGTATAGGGACTTACTTGTCTCCCTCATTTTCCTCACATCGTGTTGTGCATATTTGAAATAATTGCTCTTTCTCATCCATTTTTCTCTTCTTTCCAACATTAGTTCTAAGCCATGGAGATTTCACAGCAGATCTTTTATATCTTTTTGATCTTCTAGGATGTTTACTTGATTGTTCTTCTCCTCTCCCTTCTTCGTCCTCGGCAGAATCTTTCCCTCCTACACCTGCCTCCTTGTCCTCTTCCTCTTTTGAATCGTCATTGTTGCCCTTTTCTTTAAGAGAACCTTGTTGTTCATCATCTTTTTCTTTATCTTCTTCACCTTCTAATTTTTCTTCTTCATTCTCTTCCTCTTTTGATTGTTCAGCTCCTTCTTCATTGTATTCTTCCTCTTTTAATTTTTCTTCTTCATTCTCTTCCTTTTTTGGTTGTTCAGCTTCTTCTTCGTTGTATTCTTCCTCTTCTAATTTTTCTTCTTCATTCTCTTCCTCTTTTGATTATTCAAACTCCTTCTTCGTTATATTCTTCCTCTTCTAATTTTTCTTCTTCATTTTTTTCCTCTGAAGCCGTCCCCTCATCAACAAGTCCTTCCTCTTCTATTTTTTCATCTTCATTCTTTCCTTCAGAATCTGTTGCTTTATCATCATCTTCTTCCTCTTGTGATTTTTTACCTTTTTTCTCTCTTGAGCCTTGTCCAAGCAGTATTGATTGCAAGCTCATTAACTCCTCTCCAATGTCAGACACAAACGATAGCACTTTTCCATACAGCCTCCTTACTTCCTGCAAGACAATTACTGACTCAGTGTATAAATAAGACCATATATATATATCTGTCCATTGTACTCTATTTTATACATACCGGGTGAACAAATGCTGATTCTTGATATACCTTGGTAGATGAACTACCATGTACAATAGTTGGCTCATGCAAGATGCCTCGATTGCTCTTTTTCTCCAAACTTTATTCTTGTATTCACTTTATCATCATCCCAATATTTTAGAGCATCTACGGCTTTTGGACAACCTTGGCCAACTGAAAAATTCTGGAAGCCCCATACCTAAAAACTTGATAAATCAGTATAAACATAAAACTTTTACATGGAAAACTTTGAAAGGCTATCACTTTAGATTAAAGTAAATTGAACACACACTTACCATTAGAAAGTAGATACATCCCCCAACGTTCTTCCTCATCCTTCCCTTCCCTTTACTCAGCTGTTTTCTTGTAGTCTTCTACCTCCTTGCAAAGTTCATTAAAAATGAACGTACCCCAATCATATGTGCTTGGTTTCTTTTGTGGCTCATAAACGACCTTCAATATACGGTCGCTAACCTCAAGACTTGCGGTTTGGCAATAGCAAGGTTCCCAATGCATACATTACAAAAAGTAACTCAAATTTAGCTACCTCCTTTCCAAATATAATCATTTCAGCTATTTCCTTGTAAGGCATTTTATAGTAAGTATTTCTCAAATTCTTAAAAGCTCTATCATTCACATTGACATCCCCAGTAATCTGCTTACCCTCACTACGTAAGCCCATCAAGTCATTCACATCCTTGGCCTTCATTTGCTTGATTTTCCCCTTTATGCATATTTCATGAGTTGGGGGGTCAAAGGCACGCATCAACTCTCCACAAATATCTCTTTGAATTTTTTTACAAGACACATCAAGAAGCCTATGGAATCCTAGCTTCTCAACCCTTTTTTGTAATTTCTCATCTTTCTTAACATATTTTGCTACTTCACCAAATTAGCTAGGAGAGCAGCACGTATGAAATGGTACGGTATATCTCTTTACTGTTGTCTTTACTTTATCTTTCATCTTCCTTTATCTGGAAAACAAATAGAAAAGTTCAATTACATGTGTTGAAAAGAGATATATGCATACTAGTCATTACTAAGTTCCAACTCACAGATTTCTGCACTAGCATTGTTTATTAATAAGAAAAAAACACAAGTCACAGAGGCATGATGGTTCACTAATTATGATAGTTCACTAGTTAATGGAGCATACTGTTGTTGTCAATGGAGTTTATGGTTGTAGTCATTGAAATAATTAGTTGTCATTTATGGAATAAATGATTTTGGTTAATACAGCATATGGTTGTCGTCAACAAAGAAAGCAGTTGTCGTCAATGGAGAAATTCGTCCATATTTAAAATTACATATTTTTAAGCAGAATTGGAAGTTAAACTTACCACAAAAAAAAATAAAACGCAAGAGGAGTAGTTGAAAGTTGAAACATGCAAATACGCGCCTTAAGTAATTACAAAAATCTCATGCATAGCTACACTTTTGCAACATATCAGAAATATACTTGGTAAGCTTGACTTGATAAACATTAGAGAACTGTGTGACCAGGTTTTGTCTCTTTCACAGTACAGAGCACAACTCTATGATTATCTTAAGAGCAGGATGAACATTATTGCACCTAATTTGACTGCTCTTGTTGGGAAGCTTATTGGTGCTCGCCTTATTGCCCATGGTGGTAGCTTCCTCGATCTTGCAAAGCAACCAAGGAGTACTGTACAGATACTTGGTGCTGAAAAGGCTCTTTTTGGGGCCCTAAAGACTAAGCATGCTACCTTAAAATATGGGCTTATTTATTATACATCATTAATTGGTCAGGCTGCTCAAAACTTTAAGGGTAAAATTTCTCGGTCACTTGCTGCAAAGACAGCATTGCCCATTATGGAAGATGCTCTTGGACATGGTCAACATAATTCAATGGGATTGGAAAACAGAGCCAAGGTGCTTGTGCTATTCCCTAGTTAGTTCTCCTACTTTTGTTGTCACTTGCTACCATTTCTTATATATACTTTCACACAGCTTGAAGCACGCTTAAGGAGTCTTGAAGGCAATGAACTAGGTAGACTTGCCAGTTCAATTGAAGGAAAGCCAAAGATCGAAAGCTATGACAAAGATTGGAAGAAGGGAGTTGGAGGCTTCCTTCATTTGCTATGTCTGAAAGGATGCACTATAATTTTTTTTTATGTGTTGGAGTTTTTTGTTTTGTGTAGACTTGATTCTACTCTTGGTCAAGCTCCTCACGGTGCGTCTGTGGATGAGGAAATGCAAGATCTTCCTGTTGCTGAAGAAAAGAAAGAAAAGAAGAAAAAGAAGAAAGAGAGAAGTGGGGACGACAATACTGCTCTACAAGCTGATACTGGCAAGGAATCAGATCAAGTGCAAAATGCAAAGAAGGAGAAGAAGAAGAAACGTAGGGATTCTGCTGAGGATGGCCAGGTGCAGGCTGAGGAGGATTACAAAGACGGTGAATTACAGTGAGAAGAAAACCGACATACGAGCAAAAAACAGAGACAGAGAATTACAGTTATGTGCGAAAACAGATATGCAAAAAATTAAAGTCACAATCGAGATACCAGCTAAAAAAAGAAAAGAACAAAGAAAGGAATAATGGGAGAAGAAAACGCATAATCAATGGTAGTTGAACCTGTGGTGGCGAGACGGCGGTAAAGGACGACAGAGACAGTCTGATAATGGCGATTAGGGCAAATATGAGTCGCTGAAGCAGGAGCGAGCAACTCTCGTTCTTTACTCTTTTAAGTTTTTCACTCTCTAACGGCGCGACGGTCTTCTCCGATGAAATGCGACCACGAGAATAGTGCTCGGCCGTTAGCTCTGGAGCACGACAGAATGAGGAAGAGGAAGACAGCCGTTTTCAGTTTCATAGGTTAGTAGGAAGCAGACTAATTTTTCATATTTCAAATAGAGGGCAAATGGGTAATTTTACTTTTAGACTTATTCATCCTTAGGTCCCTAGGGACCTGGCAGCTATTTCTTAAATTCATGGGACCTCAGCGTATTTAAAGTGCTTCCATGGGACTTTAGGCTGATTTTCCCAAAATAAAATCCTCCTTGGTGGCCAAAAAAAAAAAACTAAAATCTTAAAAATGCGGCTCAAGAATATGACCAAAAACACATTTGACGAACTTCCACAAATATTATCGTTAAGAAACAAATGAAACATAAAGTAATTAGCAATAACAAATCTGAGTAAAAATAGCTAATTATCTTATATATCTGAGAGTAAAAATTATTCTCTTCTATAGACTATTTATTCTATAATAAATTTTTGTTATTAATATTATCAACATATTAAAATTAACTTACTTTGATTTGATTTAATAGAACGTATATTAGAGACATAAGATAAAGAGTTAAGTCTTAAAGACAATGCCCAATAAAGAAAATGGAACTGTTAAACGTTAATATAATGCTCCCAACTTTGGCCCCCAGATGAGATCATTCAATTACATCAAATCTGTAAGTAATCATTTAAGCTTCGCTTGACCTTTGCTTCCTGTTTTTCAAGCAAAACATCAATAAAAACTATATATGTATCTATAATTTTGGAAAAACATAACTTTAACTCCCTACATTTTGCTCGATTATGATATAAGTTTTTGCACTTTTTTTAGTATTCTAGGCTGCTACACTTTTATTTTTTTAGTGCCCTAGATCCTTTTATAAGCAGCATTATAGGGACCTAGAATATTAAAAAATAACTGTAGAAACTTATAGTAAAACTTGAATAAAGTGCAGGAATTCAAAGTTACGTTTTTTTAATAATTTTTTTAAAAAATAAACTGTTGTCGTTAATGGCACGACTTATTGAACAAAATGTTGCATTTAATTATTTAAAGATAAATAAAATATATATGAAATTAGATATGAAAAAATTATTGATATTTGTATACCTTGCTTACTAACTTTTCACAGTTCGACTACTGGATAGCCAAAGATGAGGGTGTATGTTGTGCGTGTCTTGTCTGTAAATGTTAATGAATTGATTACAGGATTACAGGACTTAAAGTCACACTCACACACACACATCATGCATAAAAATTAAAAGCATAATTCTATTATCCTCTTGTCGGCAAAAGAATTTAAAAAAATTTGTTGTTTTGTGATCTGAGGAGAAATTAATTGTAAAGGGGTTTTTTGGTTACGGAGTTTAATAGCAAGACTTTCCATTTTGGTTTAAAATAATAAGAGGAATTACGTTAAAGGATTAAAAGATTGAATTAAACTTAAATAGAGAAAAAATGATTTGAAATTCAAAATAAGAATCAAAATCTTGAAAAGAAAGTTAACGTTTAATATGTCAAAGAAAAAGACCTTGTCGATCTTGGTTGGTTATCTTGATGAAAATTTGGAAAGGTAATTCGGTGCAGTATGCAATTATAATTTATATCCATTATCCGTGTTCATATCATCATCACTTTTGTTCAGGCGAAAAAAAATCATCACTTGTTAATAATTCTGTTTTTATCGTTTCTTTATCGAGAGCAACGAGCTACGGTACGGGGATTTTAATTTTGTTTAATATTAATCCGAAACAAAATCAGTGGTTTTAATTAAATTAGGATATGTGTATCCATTAATTCGTGATTTATTCTTTACTTTGATCATGGCATATGTTCTGCAATTCCCCTTCCTACGTGCAGACTTATGCGCTTGATTTCGGTATTCGAATATCACAAGGATCTGGATTTATTTTATTTATTAATTTAATTTAATGAAACAAAATAAACGTGAATAAGAATGAAACAATAGATGGATCTATGGGTAGCAATTTCCTTATAAAAAGGAAGCCGGATTTATTTTCTTTATTAGTTTAATGTTTAACTTAAAGAGATATAGTTTAAAATAAATTGATGTAATTCACATTAATTATATTATATATATCACTTATATATATATATATATATATATTATGATCATTATCCTAGCTAGACCTGATTTTTTTGTCCCACGGCCTTCCTTCCCCTTATAAAAACCCACAGCCACTCTAAACTAACAAAAGGAGGGTTATATTATCATTATGGAGCGTCAACAAGTTATTGATATCATTCAGCCACAAGACAGGAACTTCCAGCCACAAGACTCCTAGAATAGTGTTTTGACGTAAGTTTTTTCTTTGTTTAATTATTTGTTTAAATCATTGCAATAACTTCTTCTTTGATCTCTACATATAATTAAATTGGCTTAAATTTGTATTTGACATGCAGTCGTTGCAACGCGTACTTGTTAATCGTGATGTTTTGTTTCATCATGGCTCCTGGAATTGTGGCTTGCCTAAACAGCGAGGTGATTTATATTATTTATCCTTAACGATTACAATATTGGGATTGTCTGGTAATCATAAACTTTGTTTTTTTCAGGTTCCACCATGCCCATTCTAGTGAATGTTGTGATGAGTTTGGACAAGTTATTGCTTATTTGGGTTGCTTGTCTCTTGAAAAAGCCAGTCGGTTGTCCTGAGCACCTAGAGCTTCGGAGTTATGCGATCTTTTACTCTATCGCTGCGATTTTTGGTGTAGCAACTCTAGTAGGGGTAACATTTAAATGGGAAATAAATGACATTATAATCGGAATTAGTGGCACTTTAATGGGAATTGAAGCGAGTGCCATTCTAGTTTCCGTTGGATTAACTTGTAAGCCTCAAACAAATTGGTTTGCTACTGATGACCCATTCCGTAGTCTTGTTTTGTTATCCAGCATCTTGACCGTGGTGCAGCTGAATATTTTTGTTGTTGAAATTATGTTGCACAAGATTGATTCTATCATCTTTATTATAATTATAATCATCATGTTTGT